GATTCTGTTTATCTAGAAGCGTTTTCAGTGGGAGAAACATTTTGTCACTCATGCAAATTACTTCTTCAGTCTGAGCTGACTGGAGGTTTCCCAATATTACAAAATGTACTTTTGCACAATGACCGAAACAAGCACCACTGACTAACAATGAACCGTGGTCAGGTTCATGATCATTAATATGCAAACTGTCATGAACATTATTCAATGGCCATTCACAGAGATTTGGGGAATGGCTCCAATCACAAACTTGTAAGAAAGAAAGATGCACCCTGGACATTTGTCAAAGCTGGGAAGACACCTAAAGAATGCTTCAAGCAATCCAGAGAGAAAGACAACTGCTGTATAGAGCACACAGGAGTTGTATAGAAACGTATGAGACAGCTGAGATGCATTTCCTCTAATCATTGAGTCGCTGCGGTTTTAAAACTCCAAAACATGCTGTGCCAAAAATGGGTCCATCCCGAGGATGGGGTCAAACTGCATAAACAGAGTAACATAGCGTACGCTGTTTGGCTGTGCCAAAAGGATTGCTATGATTTATACATCGGGGAAATCAAACAACCTAAGGGGATTGGGACAACACAGAGGAGCTAACTCATCAGGCCAGGACTCTGCAGTCTATTTACACCTAGACGCTCTCAGTGATGAGGATGTACACATCATGGACAGAGATGAACGCTGGTTTGAGCGCGGAGTCAAGGAGGCCATTTACGTGAAAAGGGAAAGACTATCTCTGTAACGAGGAAGGGGCCTAGACATCCAGATGAACAGAATCAACTTTTTGGAAATGAAATGAGTTGTTAAGGATATCATTAGTTTTTCTGTTGGTAAGCTGTTTTTGCTGCTGTGAGCTACCGTTAAACTCATCGTAGTCTAAGGAGCTTGGAAAGGAAAGCGTCTTAAATTAAATTATTTAACTTAAATTTCTTGGAAGACGTTTCACCTCTCATCCGAGAAGCTTCTTTAGTTCTAGCAGCAACTGGTGGAGAGTCCAAGATTTTTAAGTCCTATGGGAGTGTCCCCCTCATGGATCCTCTACCTAATCACACCAGCCAACGTGTGAAAACTAGAGAAGGCACGATACCACTTCTTTATGTCCGATACAGATACCGATATCATAAATTTGGATATCTGCCGATACCGATATGAATCCAACAGTGTTTTTTAATCAATAAATCTGTTTTTCAAATATCTTGCTGCATTTTGTATAAGTTCATACTCAAGTTTTGAGAAAAAAAACCCCCCCAAAAAACCAAAAACACTGAAGCTATTCTGTTATACCTGTATGCAAAAAATACACTGCACCCAAAATATTTCAGCAATACTGATCAATCTAATAAACTTAAACCTACTCCATCCTCCCTATTCTGGTATTTTAAAGAGTAC